ACAGTAGTTGCAACTCACAGGCTCTAGAGCTCTGGCTTAGTTGTTGTGTTATTCCTCAACATGTGAAATCCTCCCAAACTATGCATCAAACCCGTGTCCCCTGCATTGGCAGGTGGATTCTGATAGACTGCACCACCAGGGAAGTCCTTGAATCAACAGCTTTATGTCAACATTTTCTTTAAGTCAAATCTGAAAGTCATACTCTTTGATTTTGGATTAAAAGAAGTAACATCTACATTTATTATTTTGCAGCTGTATTTTCATTATTCTAATCATGATAGATTATGTAACTCAAGTTATTCATGATTTTATGGAAGAAAACTCAAGCTTGATAAACATATATGAACCTGTATGGACACGACTCCTGACTGGTGAAAGCAGTCATCCCACTAGCGGGGACCATGGGCAACTGGACATCAGTCAGGACGTGTGACAGGGAATACACAGGAGAAGTCCACTCTGCACTGTTAAGCAGGGGCTATTCTCAGATCTTACTGAACATTTGTGTGAAGTTGTCATTTCTGTCTGGAGGGATCCTCACCAGTTTTGAGCAGTGTTCCTTCCCGGGGACTTGGTGACGGAAGACTGCAGTGTATCAATCTCATTGTTCAGTTTATCCTCAAGTGGTTTGTTCAAAATATTCACAGTAAACCTGATTTTTATACTACTGCTTAAGGTTGTAGAAAATATAACCAGTGTGATGAAAATGTTACATAAGCAGAAAACAAAGCAAAATAAGGGACAAAGGAAAGAACCAGGAATCTTGATAAGAGTCCCAAAATGAAGTTAAATAACAAAGACATGTCAGTAGAATTTACTGCGGAAATTAGGGCATTTGCATAAACCTAAGTCTGATAACTGTGACATTGCTGAGGTTATGGATTGCTCCACTCTTAATGACCTCCAGGGAGTCACTGGCAGTAATGACTGATAACTTCTGATCATACAGGTTCTGTGGAGACAGAAAGGTTCTAAACTAAATGCTCCCTTCTCATTGAGTGTAGGGTGATGCCATTCTTCTAAAATGTCTGGCCCCAATTTTTCTGTTTAAAAAAAATTATAGATGGGATGTCATTGAGTTGAAACCAGAGTAAGGCAGATGATAGAGATAAATATGTGATAGATATTTAAGTGGGTTTCCCAGGTGGTTCAGTGGTAAAGAATCCACCTACCAATGCAGGAGACCAGGGTTCAATCACTGGGTTGGGAAGATCCCCTAGAGAAGAAAATCGCTACCCACTCCTAGGTATTCTTGCCTAGAGAATCTGAAGGACAGAAGGAGCCTGGCGGGCTACAGTCCATGGGGTCGCAGAAGTATTGGACACGACTGAGCAACTGAGCATGCGTGCATATAGGTAGATGAGATATAAATAGAAGATAGATAAATAGGTAGATGATGGATAGATAGAAGAATGGATCCATTTTTACAGGTAAGGAATGGAAGCCGAGGCCCCAGGAGGGTAGAGTGTTGATTACTGAGAAAGAGAACATCCACGTACTTGAGATGCAATGAACAGCCTTCCACTAAGGATAGGAATTTAGAGAGAGAGCATCAAAGGCTCTGTAACATAACATGCCCCAATCACAGACACTAGGAGAGAGAGACTAGGAAGAGACCCTAGGACTTCCCAGATGGCTCCGCCTGCGAGGCAGGAGATGTGGCTTTGATCCTGGTTGGGAAGATCCCCTGGAGGAAGGCATGGAAACCCACTCCTGTATTCTTGCCTGGAGGATCCCATGGACAGAGGAGCCTGGTGAGCTACCGCCCATGGGGTCATAGAGTTGGACATGACTAAAGCAACTAAGCACATATGCACACAGAACCTAGGTGTCAACCTAGACTGGGAGCTCATCTTCATCTTATTACTTACAACCTACCTCTTCTTGACGGCTTCCCTCATGACTCAGTAATCTGCCTACAATTCAGGAGACTTGGGTTCGATTCCTGAATGGGGAAGATCCCCTGGAGAAGGGAATGACAACCCACTCCAGTATTGTTGCCTGGAGAATCCCAAGGAGAGGAGTCTGGCAGGCTACAGTCCATAGAGTTGCAGGGTTAGACACAACTGAGCAACTAACATTTTCACTGTCACCTTATCTAGAGGAGAGGGAGGAGGTGTCAGGCACTCCTGAAGCACATTGATGAGGGCCAACTTGCCTCTGGTTTCCTCAGCAAATGCCTTTCCTGTTTTTATGGGTTTGTTCTTGTCTGTATCTATATGTATCCATAGATATGACCTATCTAAGGTGTTTCCTTTTTTATTGTCCTAACGTCAGTAAGTAGAATTTAAAGAACAGTTAATCTTGGCTTTCCTGAGATAAACATTTTCTAAGAATCGGATACCTGAAATGAAGAGATACTTACCAAATGTGTATTTGCTCCCAGGACAAGGTCTGCCATCGCAACCTCTGTGCGTCTGCAGTGAGGACATATAAGCCTGAGATAAAGGTTTAGACCCCCCATGATGTCATCTGCCCCTGGCAAAGTGACCACCTGCAAGTGCAGCAACAGTTATTTGTGTAGGGTGTGGAGACAAACTCTGAAAAATGTTTGGGGCTGTGTAGCTACCAAGAGCTACGCAAAGTGCTTCATATGATAGATATCTGTCAGGAGTGGAAGAAATTGATGGTGGGAAACTGGTTCTTTAAATAATCAAAATCCCACTGGAATGTATGGGGGAAAAAACCCCCTGAGTTCTAATAAGCGAGGGAAGGAAAATGCCTATTGGGGATTTTTTTAATTGATTTAAAGACTTTTTGCAAAACATGACTGCTTCCCATAACTCAGAGCACTGAGGGCAGGGAAACTGAAGGAAAAAGCAGAGTGAGGAGAATTAGAAGGTATATCCACAGTTGTGCAAATGAATGTTAAGTGTGTATTTTCCTTTTGTTCTATATTTCAAGACATTTATATCCCAGGAGTTTCAGACATGTTTCTAGGAATATGGAATATGTCAGTGCACAACATTTAAATACATATTTCCCTGCTGGAACTTAGTATTTGATAGAAAAATACAATAAGCAGTTCTTCTATTTAAGTTGCATGGTGTCATAGAAGGTGATGGTTCCTAAGGAAGGGCAGCAAATGGGTGATTAAAAAAATAAGGAGTTTATGATGAGTCCAGTCATTAAATTGAGTGTCCATATTTGGACTACTAGTGAAGATGAAAACTAAGGACCTACTCTATATAGATGGTTTATTTCCTCCTTTCCAATTGCTTCATATTTATTATTTTGCCTTATAATGAAATTGGAACTCCAGGATAATGCTGAATTGAGAACAATGAGCAGCTGTCCTTCTTTTATGCTAAAAGGAATACTTTAATAATGGTTCAAAAATACAGTATTTATAATAACTTTTTGTAGATGTTATTTATAAAATGATTAAGAAGGATTGCTTCTATCTGCAGTTTGATCTCTCTCAGTGTACTAGCACTGAGCAATTCACAAAGGAAAAAAAAATTAATTCCCATTCACAGTATTACCAGATTTAGAAAACACATATGCAAGACCAATAAAAAGAAATCTAAAAACAATGTTAACAAAAATTAAGATCTAAATAAAAGGGGATGTATGTTTATGGATTGGGACACTCAGTATTTCTTCCTAAATTGAAAATTAAGGAAATGTCCTGGTGGTCCACTGGTTAGAACTCTTGTGTTTTCACTTCCATGGCCTGGGTTGAGGGACTCTAGTTCCTGTAAGCCACACAACATGGCCAAAAATAAAAAATAAAAACAAATCAATGCAATCCCACTCAAACTCCTAGTAGGATTTTTGTACTGTATAAACTAGAAGGTGGATTCTAAACTTCATATGAAAAGCAAAGATCCAAGAACGGCTATGATGACTTTGAAGAAAAAAAAAGGAAGTCAAGGGAGTATACAATGTTGATTTCAAGACATATTATGAAAACAAATTAGTCAATACATGAAAATACTGGCATAAATAAAGTAGATAAATGCAACAGAATAGAAATTCCAAAAATAAACATACATAAATGATTGACCTTCAATGAAGTACTAAAGCAATTCAGGGGGAAAGGTATGATCTTTAAATCACTATTATGGCAGAAATTGGGTGTCCATATTTTTAAAATTAAACTCCACAATTAACTGAAAATGATTCACTTACATCAGTAAAAACCTCAAACCATAAAAGTTACAGGAGGAAGCAAGGGGAAAAGTAAAGAGAATAAATGAACAAATTAGACTACAATAAAATTAAAAACTTTTTCTCTGGATTAAGTGATTGAAAAGACTAAACCAAATCTCGAAGATTGTATTGCTAAGTATTTCCATTAGAGTACCTTAATCAGTAAGCAATGACAAAACATCAAAACTCAGTAATTAGAACAAGCTATATGAACAGAAATTTCAAGAATGATATGTGGTTGGAAATTAACACATGGAAGACCACTCGGCATCGTATCATTAGAGAAATGCAAATTAAAATCACTTGGGCCCACTATACAACTATGGTGTCACTAAAATTGGAAAGCCTGGACATACCAAGTAAGAATGTAAAGAACAGGAACTTGGCTTGTGGTGCTTCTGATGAGACTATAAAAGGACACCACGACTTTTGGGAAGAGCTGGACTGACCCTCCATGAGTTTAACATTCACTCCCTCTATGACGAGGAGTTGCACTACTAGATACAAACTCAAGTGAAGGAAAGCGTGAGTCCAGAAGGCATTTCTCCAGGGTGAACATTGGCGGCGCAGCGGTAAAGGGTCCACCTGCCAATGCGAGAGACGTGGGTTTGATCCCTCGGGCGGGAAGACCCCTGGAGGAGGAAATGGCAACCCAACCCAACAGTCTTGACTGGAGAGTCCCATGGACAGAGGAGCCGAGGAGGCTACAGTTCAGAAGGTTGCAAAGATTTGGACATGATAGAGCGACTGAGCACGCACACACGCACGCGCACACGCGCGCACACACACACGCACACACACACACAATAGATCATGACCTTGGAGCTGTGTACAAAGAACTACACGCATAAGGCCTTTCTCCACTGTGGGTTCTCTGGTGGACAATTAGACTTGTTTTGTAACTGTAAGGCTTCCCACACTCATTGCACTGAAAAGGCTTCACTCCAGTGTGGATCCTCTGATGGACAATAAGACTTGTTTTGTTACTGTAGGGCTTCCCACATTCACTGCACTGGAAAGGCTTTGCTCTAGTGTGGACGTTTTGGTGGCTAATTAGTGTGTTCTTCAGCTTGAAGGCTTTCCCACATTCATTGCACACATAGGGTCTTTCTCCAGTGTGGATTCTCTGGTGCTCATCAAGTGTGATTTTCCTCTTGAACCCTTTCCCACATTCACTGCACTCATAATGCCTCTGTGAGGTGTGAACATTCTGGTGTTTGTTGAGGGCAAAGCTGCTCACAAACAAATTACCACATTTCTTACAGGCATAAACTTTTTCTCCACTGTGGATTCTCTGGTGGACAATAAGACTCTTTTTGTTGACATAGGCTTTCCCACACTCACCACACATATAAGGCCTTTCTCCAGTGTGAGTTCTCTGGTGGATAATAAGACTTGTTTTGTAACTAAAGGATTTCCCACATTCGGTGCACTTAAAAGGCTTTTCTCCAGTGTGGATTCTCTGGTGCACAAGGAGTTTATTTCTGTACAAGAAGAGCTTCCCACATTCACTGCACTTATGAGGTTTCTCTCCAGTGTGGACTTTTTGGTGCTGGACAAGTGAATCCTTGCGGGCATATGCTTTCCCACATTCCTGACACTCATAGGGTCTTTCTCCAGTGTGGACTCTTTGGTGCTGAACAAGCTTACATTTGTAGATGAAGACTTTCCCACATTTACTGCAATCGAAAGGCTTTTCTCCTGTGTGAACTCTCTGATGATGAGAGAGACCCCCTCGGAGTCTAAAGAATTTCCCGCAGTCATTGCACTTGTATGGTTTTTCTCCAGTGTGAACTCTCAGGTGCTCTGTGAATTTGTACTTCTTACTGAAGGCTTTGCCACATTCGCTGCACTTGTGATGCCCTTGCCCAGGGTGAGAGCCCCCCCTGCTCTGCCTGCTCCTGTGTGGATGCTCTCCATCGTGGGGGGGCTGGCGCTGGAGAAAGCCCAGGCTACCGAGGAAATCCTCCTCAACCTCTCCACATGTGAACACAGTGTCAGGTACAAAGATCTTGCAGCTTGTCACGAGCAAGGCCCCGTTCTCATCCCTCCTGAGACGTTTCTCTCCGCTGAGCTGTGTCTGGTGCTGCTGCAAGTGAGAAGTGAGCATTCTCCCAGAAGCAGCAGAAGAGGGCAGGGTTTTCTCCATCAGGGCACACATGTCAGTGGAAGTGACAGCCTTCAGGATACATGGGTCCACCTGTGGATTCCTATCTCGTGTCACTTGTTCTGCAGAAACACACTGCTCAGAACTGGCCTCTTTGGTATCTCCTCCACGCCAACACCCTAAAACCATAAAAAATGCTGATAAAGTGTATAGAGACTCTGGTGGGGAAGTACGTATGTAGGAATGAGCACATGGGTTTGTGTTCAAAACAAGGGAGGAAGGGTCAAGTGGTAGAAGGGGATACGATGCATTTCTCGGTCCCTGGTGGTCACAAAAATGGAGATGTTTCAAACTAAGGAGAACATAGGATATGGAGCTGCGCCAGGAAGAGACCCTGGAACAACTCAGTCCTTGGCCAGTGGCAGTCACCAGGGTTTTCTGGTGGAGACAAGTGTCAGCTCTGTAGAGCGTGTGTCCTAATCCAGGAAAATGCAATTACACCTGTTTGCCTGGTGTTCAAATACCATACAAGTAAACATACACCTCTAAAAATACATTAAACATAAACATATACGATATACTAAACAAATAATATTGGAAAAGGTTTCAAAGAGAGAAGAAAAGGGGAGATGTGGAGGACACTTAGGTAAAAGACAGAAAGAGGTGAGAAGTCACAGTGAAAGAAAAAGTGGACCAAGTGTCAAAACAGGGAGGAAAAGAAAGAAGAGTATGACCATGATGAATCTGGGCACTAAAACACTAGTGAGCAAAGGACATTTCCCTGTAGGATCAGAAATGACCTATGATGTGCGTTCCTACAGCCCCTGCTCACCAGGCCCAGGATCCAGCAACCCTCTTCCAATGATTAGAGAAGTGTCTACCTCGTCAGGCACCCAGGGCCACCTCCACCCCCAGGTCAGGTTGGGTGACTGTGGAACTTACTAGATCAAAGGCCTGAGGGGAAAATGGGGCCACTATGAGAAAGACACTGGCCCAGGGTCAATCAACCAATGACAGACTTCAGAAAAAAAAAAACATAGTACTAGAAGAACCTTAGGTAGTCTTCCAAAACTAACCTAGTGTTGACCATAAATGCTGACCACATGTCTCTAATTCCTGAGACAGGCAGTGCACACAAAAAGGGTTAGAACCTGTGACACAGATCTTCCACCAGCAGAAGAGTCAACACACAAGCGATGGCAAAGCAAACTGGACAGACAGTTAACAAGCCTCCGAGACCAAACACTTCTGTGAAAGGCATCAGGGCATGTGACACAGGACTAGACACGCATGGGTGGGGGCACAAAGCTCAAATGCCCGGAAGCCAGGGAAGGAAGCAGTGTCCATGGCCCAGGCTGGGAAGGCTGCAGTGAGCCATGCAGACAGAAGGGCCGAGCCCAGCACAGGCGGTGTGTGCGGACGCAGTTCTTACCCAGGGAGGCGATCAGGGACAGGTTCTCCAGCATGACGTCATAGTACAGGAGTCTCTGAGCCTCGCCGAGGAGCCCCCACTCCTCCTGGGAGAAGGACACCGCCACGTCCTCAAAGGTCACATGGCCCTGTCAGGAGGGGGACACATGAGTTCACAGAGGCCTCTGTAACTAAAACACCCTCCCCACCCTCCAGCCTTCATGGCACAACACCGTGACCTGAGGGCCCGGAATCTGACATGGTCCACCTGCTGTCCACCTGCTCAGGAGTATCTTCACACCGGGACCCTGCCCCCACCTGATCCTGACACCTCTGGTGAGACACCCCTGCCACATCTCAGACTCAGCACGAGGATACGTAAGTCTGGACAGTCCTCCTGCTCATCACTCCTACTTTTTGTTGGCTGCACCAGCTCTTATTTGTGGCATGTGGGATCTAGTTCCCTGACCAGGGATCGAACCCTGGGCCCCCTACATGGGGAGCACAGAGCCTTAGCCCCTAGACCACCAAGGAAGTCCCATCACTCCTACTTCTCACTTCCCGTCTCAGACACAGTGTCCCTACCCTCACCTAAAGGCAAACGTCGTGGTGTCATGTCAGATGACTGTCCCTGACCCTGCACAGCAGAAAAGCATCCAGCTCCTCAGGCCCCCACCCCAGGAAAGGCTGTGCTCTGTCTATCCACCCACGCCCTGGGTCCTGCAGTGTCCTGGACACACCCCACTTGGTCTCACCTCCAGGCACATGGACAGGCTGGCTCCAGTCCCAGGAACATCTCACCACCTCATCTTCTCCACTGGACACATGAGACCACCTCAGTACCACTTCACAGGTCCTGCACCTGAGGTGACCCCAGGGCTAGAACTAAAGCCCAACAAGCCCAGGATAACTGTGTCTCTTGTATCTGTGTGTCAATACTAGGGGTGGGATGACATCGGGAGAGGTACTGGGGCTTCCTCCACTTACCTGTCCAGGGACCATAAAGGTTGCCGCTACCATGGGAACCTGTGAAAAGAGGGAGGATCTGAGATCAAGGTTATCTTGGTGAGGATGGAAAGGTGGAGCTGTGTCCTTTCCTGAAGATGAGTCACCTCAGGCTGACCTCTGACCTCAGAGCTATAACCTGACAACTCAGATAGCCTTTGATAAAGACTCAACCTCCTTGAGTCTCAGTGTCTTCAGGTGTAAAAGTTAAGTGAAGTGAAGTCGCTCTGTTGTGTCCAACTCTTTGCAACCCCACGGACTACCAGGCTTCTCCATCCATGGGATTTTCTAGGCAAGAGTACTAGAGTGGGTTGCCATTTCCTTTTCCAGGGGATCTTCCCAACCCAGGGATCAAATCCGAGTCTTCTGCATTGCAGGCAGAGGCTTTTTACCCTCTGAGCCACCAGGGAAGCCCAGGTGTAAAAGGGTAACACTTAAGATGTCTATCTCCTAATGTTGTGTAAACATCAAATGCGTTATTAACCTCTCCCAAGATTCACAATGACATAAAACAGGATTAAGATTTCTATAAATTTTTTTTTTAAATCAGGATTTCCTTACATGTCTTTCAAGGCTTTCTGAGACAAAGTATCTCTTTTCCACTACCAATTATTAGATTTCATGACAGAATTCACTCCTATTATTATACTCCCTGAAATTCATGACCATAGGTTTAAGAGCTCAGTCCCATAAATTGCCCTCTTCTGAGAAGCCAGTTCCAATCCCTGGTCCCCAGGCTACCAGTACTTCTGTCCCACTGGCTACAAATTCAGAGATTTCCCTGAACCTGTCAGTATTGAGAATTTGATAAAATAACCCATGAAAGTTAGGAAAACACTTTTCTTACTGCTGGCTTACTGTAATGGATACAATTTAGAACAGCTCAATGGAAGGGATATCTAGGTCTAGGTAGTGGAAGTGGAGGGCAGCAGGGAGTTTCAGGCCCTTTCAGTACAAGCCACCCTCCCAAGACTTCCATTGTTTCACAGTGTTCAGCGATCTTGAGGCTCCTTGAATTTCATTCCTCAGCAATTTTTATACATAATCTTCAGCTCCCCTCTGATTCTTGGGAACTTCCACATGGGGCTGAGAATTTAAACTTCTATTCTCCTTATTTCCTGGCGACCAGTCCAATCCTAAGTCACCTCAATTATAAATAAACTCCTGTGTGAAACAGGGGCAAGTTGTAACAAAGAACAGTTCTACAGCTAGGAAATTCCAAGGAGCCCAAGATAAAACCTAGCACAGATATTCATTCTCATTTTAAACAATTAGTACTTGTTTATACAAGATTAACTTATTTAGTTCAGTTCAGTTAAGTCATTCAGTCGTGTCCGACACTTTGCAACCCCATGAACCGCAGCACGCCAGGCCTCCCTGTCCATCACCAAGTCCCGGAGTTTACTCAAACTCATGTCCATCGAGTTGGTGATGCCATCCAGCCATCTCATCCTCTGTCATCCCCTTTTCCAGCTGCCCCCAACCCCTCCCAGCATCAGGGTCTTTTCCAATGAGTCAACTCTTCGCATGAGGTGGCCAAAGTACTGGAGTTTCAGCTTCAGCATCAGTCCTTCCAATGAACACCCAGGACTGATCTCCTTTAGGATGGACTGGTTGGATCTCCCTGCAGTCCAAGGGACTCTCAAGAGTCTTCTCCAACACCACAGTTCAAAAGCATCCATTTTGGGGGGCTCAGCTTTCTTTATAGTCCAACTGTCATATCCATACATGACCACTGGAAAAACCATAGCCTTGACTAGATGGACCTTTGTTGTTCAGTCTATACGTTTTTAACCTTGTAGTTTCCTGGAAGAGCTGAGGCACCTGTGCCCTTTCACTAAACCTAAGACTGACTGGTCAGCATCGCCCAATTTTTGTGGCTCCAAAAGGAACAGACAGTCAGCTGGCGGAGTATTCATCAGTTAATGTACACAACCTCACCCCTCCTTCTCCACCTCCTTCCCAGGCAAAGCTCTCTACTCCTTATACCCTTGCTTTCTTATAAAGCCCTGGAGCCTCAGGACCCTCCCATTTTCAGGCAGCATCTCAAAGTCCCACCCACTCTGCCCTCCAGCCCCACCTCTTCTTTCATCTCAGGTCCCCTTTCACAGAAAAGTGGAAAAATTTTCCCACCTAAATTTGAGATCCAGATTTAGGTGTCACCACAAGGATGTCCTTGAGTCAGTGACCTCCTCCCTCAATTCCAGACTATAGATTCTAGCAAGCCCGTACATTACCTCAGTTTTGAATCTCAGAAACAACATGTCTCAAATCCAACTTTTCTTCTCTCCCTAAAACTGACTTCTCACATCAGTGTGGTCTCAGGTCATAAAGAAAACCTTTATTGTCCTTTACTCTGTCTTTAGCTCAGAGCCACATTTACTTCACCAGGAAATCATGTCAATTACCTGTAAGACTTAGTAGGAATATTATCTGTTACATTCCTTTGGGAAAAAAAAATTATTTAACAGAAACCTCAATTAGAGTTGGCAAACCAGAAGAGGGAGCCCTCACTGACCTGAGACAAGAATGGTATTCCAAAGGAAGAAGAGTCTCCTTTTTCCTGGAAAGGACTCAGACAATGAAAAGCCATGGGCTTTTTGGTGACTAGAGCCGTTTTAACTTCCCTTTGTAATCTCTATAAAAGTGTTAACTCCCCCATAGTGACACAGCCCAATTGCAATTTCCCGAAAGATCCTGAAAAAAATTATTTTGAAGCCCATTTTTGTGTGCGAAATACAGGGCAGGCTACTTGCTTCAGGTCAGCAACTGCCATACCCATCACTCTCGTCCAGAAAACACCTTACTCTTCGGATTCTAACTCAGAAGCCTCCCCCAGGTCTCCCCGCCTCCACCCTCATCTCCTCCTCCCCAGTCTGTACTCCTCGGAGCTGGCTTTGAAATACTTTGAAACTCAAGCGAATTCCTAATTTATTCGCAACCCTCCATGCCTCCCAGAATGCTCTCGGCCCAGTTGGCCCAGACGATTGACTCCTCTTCATATGCCCTGTCCCTGCAGAGAGGACTCCAATCCCAAGTTTCCCTAACGCTCTGGCTCGTGTGCGCCTGCAAGGATCGGCACGTGCCGGGCCCACGGCCTTTAACGCGCCACACTTCAGCACACAGCGTGTCAGAAAGGGGACCGCCACACACGCACGCCTAAACTTCCGCAGACGGGCCTAAGCCGCGGCGCCGTGAGCAGGAGACCCTCACGGGGGCTTGAGGATCTGGGGACGCAACTGTCACCTGGGGCGGGCCCTGCAGCGCGTCGGTTGCCATAGGACCCTGTGGGCGCAGTGGTGCCAGCAGAAGCGCGAGATAATGGCGGAGACCTGGGCCGAAAATCCTGGAAGTGTCCCGAAGTCCGCTCACTCCTGTGCACTGCGGACGGCGCCCCTTGGGTTCTTCCCAGTTTCTCTAAGGCCGGCTGCACCGTTATTTAGAGTCTCAGGTTCTGCAGTCTGCAGCAAGAGCCGTCAAACGACCGCCATCAAAGAGGCGCCGGAAATCCCACCCCCTCCTATTTCATAATCCAGGAAGAGCCAGAGTTTGGGGGCTTCATTGGTGCGGAGAACAAGGCCGACCAGCGCATGGTCTTCTGGGTAGTGTAGTTCCCTCGGTGCCGGTTTGCGTTACAAAGCCCCGGGGTCTCGCCTTACCGTGTTCTGACGGATGTACAGATTAAAAAGTAGACCCAAGAAAGCCTTTAGGTATAATCTTTACAAAATTCTGATTTAACTACCATTTCTCAGCTAAAAGTTAATACAGGTTTAGCAAACAAGCGTTTCCCTCGTGAAAAGACTGAGAATAGCCACAGTCTTCAGCTGTTATTACTTTTTATGCAGATCTTTTAGAAATTTTCAAGTAAGTAAAATCTAGTCAGTATGACTTGGAGGAAAAAATTTTAACGGTAATTATATGCAACAAAATATCTCAGTGTTTTTAATTATTGGCTAACAAAAAGCATATAGTCAGATAATAAAGTCTGTCGTTGGTCCTGTGGACCTAAATAAACCCCAGAGGCAATAATCTTGCCCGACACGTTTACATAGGATCAAAGAGTTACAATTGCGAACACATATACAAATAGCCACACTAACGGTGTCCTGCTAGGGAATAAACGTCAGGCACTTTTAAAGGCAAAGAGAGGTTTGTATCACAAAGAATTTTAATTGCAGTTGGACTCAGAAGCTAGAGTGCGGTACCCTGAACAGGGTAGAACAGGGTTGAGTGCCAAAGCCATCACTAAAGGAAGATGTAAGCCCTTTATTGTGGCAAGTTTTAGGCATTCTTTCCGAGTCCTTGGAATATTTGCCATTTCAGTTTAGGGCAGTTGCTCAGTTGTGTCCCACTCTGCGACCCCATGAACCGCAGCACGCCAGGCCTCCCTGTCCATCACCAACTCCCAGAGTCCACCCAAACTCATGTCCATCGAGTCGGTGATGCCATCCAACCATCTCATCCTCTGTCATCCCCTTCTCCTCCTGCCCTCAATCTTTCTCAGCATCAGGGTCTTTTCACATGAGTCAGCTCTTCCCATCAGGTGGCCAAAGTATTGGAGTTTCAGCCTCAACATCAGTCATTCCAATGAACACGCAGGACTGATCTCCTTTAGGATGGACTGGTTGGATCTCCTTGCAGTCCAAGGGTCTCTCAAGAGTCTTCTCCAACACCACAGTTCAAAAGCATCCATTCTTCAGCACTCAGCTTTCTTTATAGTCCAACTCTCACATCCATACATGACCACTGGAAAAACCATAGCCTTGACTAGATGGACCTTTGTTGACAAAGTAATGTCTCTGTTTTTTAATATGCTGTCTAGGTTGGTAATAACTTTCCTTCCAAGGAGTAAGCGCCTTTTAATTTCATGGCTGCAGTCACCATCTGCAGTGATTTTGGAGCCCAGAAAAATAGTCAACCACTGTTTCCACTGTTTCCCCATCTATCTGCCATGAAGTGATGGGACCGGATCCCATGATCTTAGTTTTCTGAATGTTGAGCTTTAAGCCAACTTTTTCACTCTCCTTTTTCACTTTCATCAAGAGGCTCTTTAGTTCTTCACTTTCTGCCATAGGGTGGTGTCATCTGCATATCTGAGGTTATTGATATTTCTCACAGCAATCTTGATTCCAGCTTGTGCTTCCTCCAGCCCAGCATTTCTCATGAAATACTCTGCATATAAGTTAAATAAGCAGGGTGACAGCATACAGCTTTGACATACTCCTTTTCCTATTTGGATCCAGCCTGTTGTTCCACATCCAGTTCTAACTGTTGCTTTCAATCTCATATAAAACCTCAAGATCAACTGGCTGCCTCTGGCTCTCAAGCCATTGAGGACCTTAAAGAACATGACTGGGTTGTGATGGAAGACTCTGAACTCCTAGTCTTATTTGGTAAGAACCTCTATGCCATGTGGACAACCCAAAGCTCTCTCCTTGGCTGCACCTTTTTCCTCATTCCTCGCTGATGTCAACTACAAATTGGCACTTGCCAAGAGCATTTGCCAGAGACAGAACAACAACAACAAATGCATTTACCATCTGCCTTCCCTGGTTATTCAGATGGTAAAGAATCTGCCTGCAATGCAGGAGACCCAGGTTTAATCCCTGGGAGGGGAAGATTCCATGGAGAAAAAAATTGCAACCCACTCCAGTGTTCCTGCCTGGAGAATTCCATGGACAGAGGAGCCTGGCGGGCTACAGTCTCAGTTCACTTCAATTCAGTTCTGTGCAGTCACTCAGTCACATTCAACGCTCTGCGACCCCATGGACTGCAGCACGCCAGGCCTCCCTGGCCAGCTTCAACTCCCGGAGCTTGCTCAAACTCATGTCCATCTAGTCGGTGATGCCATCTAACTGTAACAGGAGGGAAAGGGCAGGTAGGGCACAAATTTTTAAAGAATGACATAGCCCAAAGACACAACATAAATCGATTAGAATCAAATGAGACCAAGATTGCAGACAAGACTAGACCTTGATCCTCCATCAGCAAGTGAAATGACACACCGAGAGGTGCCATGACCGTTCCAAGGCACTGTCAAAAGACCAAGGAGTGAGCAGCGGCCCAAATCCTGGAAGTCTCCACCCCTTCCCCAAAAGAGCTGGAATAACCCTCCTCCTCATTAACATATGACATTATCAAGCCTATAGAAACTAACCACGCCACATTTCAGGGCCACACTGGCCCTCTGCAATGGCCCACACTCTGTCTGTGGAATGTGCTTCTCTCTGAATCGGAATAAATCCAGTTCTTACCTATCACTTTGTCATCACTGAATTCTTTCTGTGATGAGACATCAAGAACCTGAGCTTTATTAGGTCCTGAAACCAGGTACTGTGGGTTTTGGCTGGGTTTGAGTCCCAGCCACATGGGTTTGAATCTCAAGCAAGGTTTTGGCTGCATTTGAGTTGATGTTGAAGCTGAAACTCCAATACTTTGGCCACCTGATGCAAAGAGCTGACTCATTTGAAAAGACCCTGATGCTGGGAAAGATTGAGGGCAGGAGGAGAAGGGGATGACAGAGGATGAGATGGTTGGATGGCATCACCGACTCGATGGACATGAGTTTGGGTGGACTCTGGGAGTTGGTGATGGACAGGGAGGCCTGGCGTGCTGCGGTTCATGGGGTCGCAAAGAGTCAGACACGACTGAGTGACTGAACTGAACTGAACTGAACTGAGTCCCAGCCACGTGGGTTCCAGTCCCAAACTGGGTTTTGGCTGGGTTCAAGTCCCAATCTGAGGTAACAGATTCACAACCATCTCATCCTCTGTTGTCCCCTTCTCCTGCCTTCAGTCTTTCCCAGTACCAGCGTCTTTTCCAGTGAGTCAGTTCTTCACATCAGTGGCCAAAGTATTGGTGTTTCAGCTTCAGCACCAGTCCTTCCAATGAACACCCAGGACTGATCTTTAGGATGGACTGGTTGGATCTCCTTGCAGTCCAAGGGACTCTCAAGAGTCTTCTCCAACACCACAGTTCAAAAGCATCAATTCTTCAGTGCTTAGCCTTCTTTATGGTCCAACTACTCACATCCATACATGACTACTGGAAAAAAGATAGCTTTGGCTCGGAGCTTTGTCGGCAAAATAATGTCTCTGCTTTATAATATGCTGTCTAGTTTGAGCATAGCTTTTCTTCCAAGGAGCAAGTGTCTTTTAATTTCATAGCTGCAGTCAGTATCTGCAGTGATTTTGGAGACCAAGAAAATTAAGTCTCTCACTGTTTCCATTGTTTCCCTATCTATTTGCCGTGAAGTGATGTGACTGGATGCCATGACCTTAGTTTTTTGAACGCTGGGTTTTTAGCCAGCTTTTTCACCCTCCTCTTGGTGAAAGCACAGGTGGAGCACAGGTTCTAGGCACTTCCTTCAGTAACTGCAGCTCGAGGCTCTAGAGCACAGGCTCAGTAGTTGTGGTGCACGGGCTTAGTTGCCTTGCACATGTGGAATGTTCTCAGGCTAGGGATCGAACCCATGTCCCCTGCATTGACAAGTGGATTCGTAAATACTGGATCACCAGGAAAGTGGGGATAAGTTGCCCCTTTTTCACACAAGCTCAGACTGTGATCATGGCAGCCAACGTCCTGGTAGGAAACAGCATTTAGTAAGTTGCTCTTCTTTTCAGATGTCTTGTTGTCTTTTTTTATTTAATTAATTGTATCTGTCCCAATCCATTTGAAACTACTATGGGGAAACACCATTGACTGGGTGGCTTATAAGCACCCAATGTTTATTGGTTTAGGTGGTCTAACACCCACTTGGTGGCACTTTCTGCAGGGCTCATGCATAGTGCCCTGCTTTTGCTCCAAACACCTCAGAAATGATATCTGGGTGTTGGATTTTTTTGGTATCTTACTGTTTACCACTTGTCCTAACTTCACATGTACACAGTTATTTTTAGTCCTCTATAGTTTCTTTGTGGGCTTCCCTGATGGCTCAGTGGGTAAAGAATCTGCCTGCAGTTCAGGAGACAACAGGAGACTCAGGTTGGAACCCAGGGTGGGGAAGATCTTCTGGAGAAAGAAATGGCAACCCACTCCAGTATTCTATCTGGAGAATTCCATGGACAGAGGAGCCTGATGGGCTACAGTCCATGGGGTCACAAAAGAGTCAGACATGGCTGAAGCAAGTGAGCTCTCACACACATGATATCCTGGGAGATCAACTTAGTAGGAGGAAAGCCCAGAGACAAAGAGGGCCTCTAGACAACACCATTATTGTTGTACCCAGAGGGGCTATAGGCAAATGTCATGAGGGGACTTCACTGGTGCACTGGAATGTCACTAGGTCACAAGGGAGGACAAGAAGGGAAGCTAGTGCCGGGAGCCACAATCTCATCACTCTGGTGTACCCTGAAAGATGGTGTACCCTGAGTGGTGTACCCTAAGCTCAGTCATCAGCTGAGCGGGGTGCTCACAGACTGTGGGGATGGTGAGGCAGCAGAACACAAAGTTTAAAAAAATTACAATACAGTACAATCACTTACTTAGAAACACGCAATGCCTCGTCTCCTTGGTTGGAACCTTTGAAGGCCCTTTGCCCGCTTCAGTCTCCAGGCGTCTGGGCCGCTGGCGCCCAGGAGTGGATTCCCCTTCCCGGCGGGGAAGACAGTGGCACCCCACTCCAGTACTCTTGCCTGGAAAACCCCATGGACAGAGGAGCCTGGTTGGCTGCAGTCCATGAGGTCGCTAAGAGTCGGACACGACTGAGCGACTTCACTTTCACCTTAATGAACTGGAGAAGGAAATTCTCCAGGGTTCTTGCCTGGAGAATCCCAGGGACGGGGGAGCCTGGTGGGCTGCTGTCTATGGGGTCGCACAAAGTCAGACGCGACTGAAGCGACTTGGCAGCAGCCCCTTCCCGTACGGACGCAGGACTACATTACCCAGAAGGCTATGCTCTGTGGGTGCTGGGAGGGACGGGATGATAACGTCACAGAAGGGGGCGTTTTCAGGGGCGGGGCTTCTCTCGTCGTCCGGGAGGCTGTTTGTTGTTGATGGGGGAGGTTTTGTCTGTTTTGGGTGACTGTTTCCCGGGGTTTGGGGACGGAGCGGCGAGGAGTAAGGCAGGCCCACGTACGCCTCTGCGATCGAGGGGAGGGTCAGCTAAGCCGTCTGGACCCGTCGCGTGAGCCTGCACTCTCCGCGGTGCGATGGCGGCGCTCTTGACCCCGGCGCAGGTGAGTGGACGATGCGCGCCCGCTCGGACCCAGCCACGTGGCCCCGGCGTGCTGCGGTGCTGGACGGCGGTGTCCTGTGGCTCGGCGCCTTGTCTTCTGCAGGACACCGTCTCGGAGTCTCGGGAGGGGGTCGTTTGTGCTCCGTCTGGGAGCCGAGGTTAGGGGCTCCGTACGGTGGATCCTGTTTCTGTCAGTCACTGGGACGTCGTGTAAAAGGGAGAGACGTGCCTTCTAGAATTCCTCCCCTCAAGCCCATGCCAGTGGCGTGGAAGGACCTGCAGGGCGGAGCGCAGGCCGCACAGTCCTGAGACCTTTCTGCGTCTTGAGGCCGCGCCCCTTCTCGAGTCTAGGACCTTGAGTAACTTTCAGTGCTGCCCTTGACTTTTTTTTTTTTTTTTGGCTGAGGCGTGAGGCATTTGAGATCCCAGTTCCTGGAGCAGGGATCGAACTGGTGTCCTCTGAATAGGGGATTGTTGACCACTGGCCCGCCAGCGTAGTTCCTGTGCTTGGCTTTTATATTAAATTTCCTCCGTCTGAGTCTAAGGAACTAAAAAAGGCACATGGATGACATGTATTACCATGTGTCCAGCATGGTCCAGGGTGCATCACTCTGGCTCTCTTCACGGAGGTGCCTCCTGAGCCCGTGTTGATGGCAGAGGCTCATCCCTGGGGGAATCTGATCCTTGGCTTCCCTGTCCTGTATCCTCTATAAAAATAAGGACTAGGGTGGGGAAGAGGCAGCAGTAGCCTGCAGCAGTTTGGGGATTGCTGCTCTGCTAGGACAGAAGAGGTGTCAGGACCAGCTGGGAGCCCACAAGGCCAAGGAATTCACCGAAGTTTCCCTGGTGGCTCCAGAACCTGCCTCCTAGTGTAGGAGATGTAAGGGATGTAGGTTCAATCCCCAGGCCGGGAAGGTCCCTTGTAAGAGGGCATGGCAACCCACTCCAGTGTTCTGGCCTGGAGAATCCCATAGAAGAGCCTGGCGGGCTACAGTCCACAGGGTCTCACAGAGGCGTGCTAAGCCTGACATAGGACACACACACTTCAGGAGTGGCAGTTAGGTTTTGGTTGGTTTACAGCCAGAGTGTGTCCGCTGAAATGGTCAGGTATGACGGTGCACAGGAATGTGGAGTCCCTTTGGACACAGAAACACAAGGGGTCCTGGGCGCCGCCATAGCCATCGCCCTGAGTGCCCTCGTCACAGCCCTGCTCACTGTCAGGACTTGTCCTGTTTGTTACTTCCCAGCCACTTGGTTCCCTTCTTCACTTTATTTCAGACTCACTTCCATTCGCTGTCCTGAGAGAGGCTTTCCCTGGTGCCCAGTCGCAAGCGGACAGTCACCGCCTCAGCCTTCTGGCTCGTTTTTCTTGAGTTTGGAACCTTTTGGTCCCTCTCACATTGTTGTGTTCATTTATTTAGTTGTTCATTTAACATCTGTTTCCAGCCCTAGAACTCAAGCGCCCGTGGTGCTCTCTGCCAAGACCTGGAATGGCCCGGGCTTATAAAAGGTGCTCAGGAAATGGTGGAATGAATGAGCCTCCCACTCAGGTGCCCTCATCACACCTACAGTAAATACAGTCTCCTGCACGGTGGCCCACAGGGCTGTCCTGGATCTGCCCTGTGAGTGTCTCCACGCTCCTCCCCCTCCTGTTCTTCCCTTGCTTACTGCACTCGTTTCTGCCCGGTGTGCAGCTTTTGCCCTTGCATTTCACTTTGTCTAGGGCCCTGATCCCGGATCTCTGCAGGGCTGTCTCTCCCCCGCTGCCTGTGCCTCAGTGTCTCCTCTCAGGATAGTCTTTTCCAGGCCGTTTTCCTTCTGGCTGAGGTACCCCTGGCTCCCACCTGCCCATCTTCTGGCAACTCTCTGCTGTCTTATGCTGGATGGATGTTCAGTTCCCAGTTCTTTTCCTTTTTATTTTTTTGCCATGCAACATGGCTTGTGGGATCTTAGTTCTGCAACCATCAATCGAACCCTGGGCTTCGGCAGTGAAAGCATGGAGTCCTAACCACTGGACCACCAGGGCATTTCCCTACTTCTGTAATTTAAACCTGAGTTTATGGGTGACTTTCTAGGGCTCTCTGGACCTAGAGCTCTGGCTGAGACACGGAGGCGATGATGACCTTTACCTCGTATGCCGAGTGGGGGGCTTAGTAAAAGTCAGAAAGGACATGGCACACTTCACTGTGCCAGCCCTCCCGCATCTGGTGTGTGAACATGTTATTTTCTCTTTAGTTCTCAGATCATGGCACAGTGGGAATGAGTGTAGTATTGATGGTGACACTGATGCTTGGAGAAGTGATGAAATGTTGTGTCTGTGGTCACACTGCCAGCAAGTGTCAGACTTCAGACTCTTCATCTGAACCCCGGATCTCCGGCCCAGAGCAAGGGATCTGCAGTCACTTGAACCTCAGTGTGTGAAGCCCTCAGCCTGGGCAGGCACTCAGACAGGGTGAGGGCAGTTCAGGTGCTGTCGCTGCTGTGGCCGTTGTTGGAATTACATCTTGAGCATTTTTCCGAGAGCATTTAACCTCTGCCCCCCAGACCTCATGGAACACCACTGTCTGTGTCATCTCCCGTGGCCTCCTTCACCGAGGCTTTTCTCTCAGCCACAATTGCTTTATGTCACAAGGCTGCATCTGCTTCCCCCTTGAACCCAGCACAGAACTTGGCCATCAGCAGGCCTAATGATTCTCTGCACCTCATGGGTCTCTGCATTTCACCCCCAACAGTGACTGGCTTGATCCCACCCAAGTGCACAGCACCAACACCAGCGCCTGTGTTTGACTCTCCAGGTGATGGTGACCTTCAAGGATGTGGCCGTAACCTTCACCCGAGAGGAGTGGGGACAGCTTGACGTGGACCAGAGGACCCTGTTCCGGGAGGTGATGCTGGAGACCTGCGGGCTCCTGGTCTCCCTGGGTACGTGCTCAGCTCTTAGACCTGTGGGGACCCAGCCTCCTCCTGGTTATGGCTGATCAGAAGGTCACGGGAGTCACCCTTCCTCCTCCCCACGAGCCCTGCAGTTTGCTGGCCCGTCCTCCTGCCCGGTCTGTGTCTGGGATAGAAGTAGTGTCCCTCTGAACACCAGCCCTCCTCCCGGCGCCCAGTGCCCGCAGCCACCAGCCTGAGGTCCCTGTTCCTGACTCCTCTGCCGGGAAGCTGACTGACCCAAGCTGGTGGGGTCACAGGTCCCACAGCCAGTTAGCAGGGCTGGTCTCTGAAGAATAGGTGAGTCAGGCAGGCCCTCCACAGCCTTTGTCCTCAGTGCCACCAAGGCCTGGGGAATATTGATGCCTCGATGTGACCCTGAGCAGTTTTGTTTCTTTTGGTTTGAGGTTGGGCTTAGGCATCCTTGGGTGGTTCTGAAGCACAGGGTGACTTAGATGAATCATCAGTCACATTCCGGAAGGAGGGTCCCCTTCCCAGGGTGCTGTCACTGTGCCCCTGCCCAGGACTGGCTTCTAGTGATGATGTTCATGGGCAAGGGTGTTGTGCAGACAGATGACCCCACCCTCTACGGCAGTTGCAGCCCTGGAGTGGTGTGTGCGCCTGGGTTCCAGGTCACAAATCAACACTTTCTTTACTTTGGGAGCAGCTACATTCATGGTCTTCCTCTTCCTGTCACAGAGTCCCAGACAGGGTGGAAGGGTTTCATTCTTCTCATCAAACACCTGTATCCTGTTTCTTGCTCCATCCATAGGGCACCCAGTCCCCAAACCAGAGCTGATCCACCTGCTGGAGCATGGGCAAAAGCTGTGGACAGGAGCCAGAGGCCTCCCGCGTAGCACCGGCCCAGGTAGGAGCAGGTAGCTGCTGTCCAGTTGGGCTCATGGCAGCCTTCAGGACGTGCCTCTGAGCTGCCGTGTGAAGCCCTTCGTGGGGTCTGAGGTTTCTCTTGCATCGCGGTTTGGTGTGCATCAGCTGGCCAGCCCGGGACCATGCCATTGTTTAGAGATCCAGGCACCTCCTCCTCCTCGTTGTTTTTTTTTTTTAATTTTCTCTATTAAGTTGAAGCACAGTCAATTTCCAGTGTTGTGCTGGTTATGCTGCACAGCAAGGTGACTCAGCTACACACGTGTATACATTCTTTCTCACTATGGTTTATCCCAGGACGTCTGACATAGTTCCCTGGTGCTACAGTAGGCTTGTTGCTTATCCATCCTGTATGTAATAGTTTGCATCTGCTGACCCCAAGCTCCCACTCCTTCCCCCTCATCACTGTCCCACTTGGCATCAACAAGTCTGTTCTCAATATCTGCGAATCTGTTTCTGTTTCATAGATAAGTTCTTTTGTGTCGTATAGTTAGATTTCACACATAAGTTATACCATATGGCATTTGTTTTTGTCTGACTTATTTTACTATAGTATAATATCCTCTAGTTCCATCTGTGTTGCTGTAAATGGCATAATTTCATTCTTTTTTATGGCTGAGTAATATTCCGCTGTATATAAGCACCACATCTTCATCCATTCATCTGTCGATGGACATTTAGGTCGCTTCCATGTTTTGGCTATTATGAATAGTGCTGCTGTGAACACAGGGGTGTGTGTGTCTGATAGCCTACGGTGAACGATGTCAGATTCGTGATCTTCAAAGGTTTAGCTTCAGGACCAGGGACCAGGCTTGATCACTCACAAGCTTTTGTGTAGCAGAGTTTTATTAAAATGAAAAACGGACAGAGAAAGCTTCTGACATAGACATCAGAAGGGGGATGGTGAGTGTCCCACTTACTAGTCTTAGCAAGAGAGCTATATACTTCTTAAATTGGTTATTACAATGAATCAAAAGAATGTCTCATCTCATTCAAAATTGGTGGAGAAATCAAAAGCTTTTCAGACAAGCAGAAGTTAAGAGAATTCAGTGCCACAAAACCAGCTTTACAACAAATGTTAAAGGGACTTATATAGTAAGAAATATAAGAGAAGAAAAAGATCTGCAAAAGAGTGTCTCAAGGTTGTAAAGATCTTACTAGACCCACTCTCACAATTTACATTTTAAGATAACAGGATTAGTCAGAAGGTTTTCAAAGAGAAACAGTCCTCAAGCAGAATACATTGTTGTTATATAATCCTTAGTACTGAGTTTAAACTGAGTTGTTTAGTTGTGTTAAGACTAGGAATGTAAAAAAACAAGTTTGTCCTTTTCTCCTCATTGAGAACTCCAGACCCCTATCTCCTCTTCGGGGACCCTAGAGTTCTTATCAGCCTGCCTAGAAATTGACTCTCTCATGTCTTTTCAAATTAGAGTTTTGTCTGGATATATGCCCAGGAGTGGGATTTCAGCTTCACTTTTTTTTTTCCAGCTTTACTTTTTAATATACATATAAACTAAAGTATCCTTTATCCCACCTAAAATTTAGAATATTTCCAGGACTGTGGCAGTTTCTGGTGCCCTGTCCTTGTCAGTAGCTGTTCCTATAGCAGTCCCCACTGTTAACACTCTGTCATTGTGGATAGATTTTCTTTTTTTCTTTCTGAGGATGGGAGTGGGTGCCTTGAACAGCAGTTTCAGTTCTTGAGGCTGGGTGTCACCACGGTTAGTTTCTTCTGAGATCTCTTTCTTTGGCGTGTAGAATAAGATGGCTTGTCCTGGGTGGTGGCGTTGCTGTCATCCTAACTGCCCCCCAGAGCAATGAGGATACTGACATTAGACTGCTTCAGAGAATCAGAGCCAAAAGAGATATGTGTCCATTGAGATCTATTTTATTGATCTGGCTTCGTGTGATTGTGAGTGCTAAGAGATTTTGAAATCTGCAGGGCAGGCCAGTAAGCTGGGAGAGTAGATGCTTGCAGCCTTGAGTCTGGAGGCAGAATTCCTTCCCTCCTAGGGCATCTCAGTCTTTTCTCTCTTTTTTAAAAAAGAAATTATGTATTTTTAATTGGAGGATAATTGCTTTACAATGTTGTGTTGGTTTCCGCCATACATTAACATGTATTAGCCATTGGCATACATACCTCCCCTCCCTCTTGGCCTTCCCTCCCATCTTCCACCCCTCAGTCTTTGCTCTTAAGGCTACTAATTGATTGGATTTGGCCCAACATATGAAGGGGAATCTGCTTTTCTCAAAGTCTGAGAATTTCACTGTCAGTATGAACTGTGGTGTTGGAGACGACTCTTGAGAGTCCCTTGGCTGCAAGGAGATCCAAGCAGTCCATCCTAAAGGAGATCAGTCCTGGGTGTTCATTGGAAGGACTGATGCTGAAGCTGAAACTCCAGTACTTTGGCCACCTCATGCAAAGAGTTGACTCATTGGAAAGACCCTGATGCTGGGAGGGATTGGGGGCAGGAGGAGAAGGGGACAACAGAGGATGAGATGGCTGGATGGTATCACCGACTCGATGGGCATGAGTTTGAGTAAACTCTGGGAGTTGGTGATGGACAGGGAGGCCTGGCGTGCTGCAATTCATGGGGTCGCAAGGAGTCGGACACGACTGAGCGACTGAACTGAACTGAACTGAGTACCTAAAAAGTATCTTCCCAGCAACACGCCAGATGGTATTTGGACAAAGAGCTCGGCACAACCACCAAGCCAACTTGATGTACAAAATTAATCACCACAAACGCTCACATGGCGCCAAGAACTGTGCCAAGAGCTTTGTAGGCATTTTCTCATTTAATCCTCATGACAGCTGGAGAAAGTCTTCTTGTCTCTCAGGTGAGGAAATTATGACTTAGAGAAGAGAGAAGGGACTTCCCTGGTGGGCCAGTGGTGAGGACTGTGTGCTTCCACTGCAGGGGGTGAGGGTTTGATCCTGGTCAGGGTACTAAGATCCCACAAACCACGCCTGGAACTGAGGCATTCTGACTCCAGAGCCCTTCCTGCCGACACCACATTAATGCCCCTCAGCAGTGGAAACTCATGTTTCCTACCGTTTGGCCTGGTGTGTCCCTCTGCCCCTTCTCTTCTGAGATTTTCACTGTCTCCTTCCTGTAACCGCCCCTGTAGTATTGCCTTCACCAGGCATCTCATGCTGTTTTCTTTTTCCTTTTTGGCCATATCACAAAGGCTTGCAGGATCTCCAGAGGTTAAACCCAGTCCTCAGCAGTGAGGACATGGAGTCCTAAGCACTGGACTGCCAGGGAATTCCTTCTCTCTCCTTTTTTAGGCACTATTTTCAGTGTTTTGTGTATCAACCACTTGTTGTTTTAGTTGTTGTTAATTTGATAAGTCATGTCTGACTCTTTACAACCTCATGGATTGTAGCCTGCCGGAGGCTACTCAGTCCATGGGATTCTCCAGGCAAGAATACTGGAGTGGGTTTCCATTTCCTTCTCCAGGGGATCTTCCCGACCCAGGGATCAAACCCATTTCTCTTGCATTGGCAGATGGATTCTTTACCACTGAGCCACCAGGGAAGAAACTTCAACCACTTAGATAACACTTATTACCTCCCAGGTCATCTTCTAGGCACCTTTTAAAAAAAATTGGAATAGAGTTGATTTACACTGTTGTGTTAGTTTCAGATGTACAGCAAAGTGATTCAGTTATACACATACATATATATTCTTTTTCAAATTCTTTTCCTGTATTGGTTATTGCAAGATATTGAGTATAATCCCTGTGTTATACAGGAGGTTTTTGTCATTTATCTATTTCATATATGATAGTGTGCATCAGGTAATCCCAAACTCTTATTTATCTTTCCCTCCTCACCCTTTCCCCTTTGGTGACCAAAAGTTTGTTTTCTGTGTGTGGGTCTGTTTCTGTTTTGTAAATTAGTTGAATTTGTATCTTTTTTTTTTTTTAGGTTCCACATATAAGTGATATGATATTTATCTTTCTCTGACTTATTTCACTTAGTATGATCATCTCTAGGTTCATCCATGTTGCTGTAAATGGTTTTATTCTTTTTTATGGCTGAGTAACATTCCATTTTCTTATAATTCTTAAGCAGTCTCCAGGGGTGAATCTACTCATGCTTACTCTTCTATTTCAACCCAGTACCTCATCCTTCTTTCTGGCAACTCCAGTGTCTGCATTAGGACCTAGCTTGTGGGCTTACCAGATGGCACAGTGGTAAAGAATCTGCCTGCCAATATAGGAGACACAGGAGATGTAGGTTCGATCCCTGAATCAGGAAGATCCCCTAGAGAAGGAAATGGCAACTCACTTCAGTATTCTTGCCGTGGACAGAGGAGCCTGGCAGGCTACAGTCCATGGGGTCATAAAGAGTCGGCCATGACCAAGCATGCACGCACACACACACACACACGCACGCACACACACACACACACACACACACCACATCTCAGGGAAGATGAGCTATTTCTTCCCTGTGTCACAAGATGGCACATTCCTGCATTCTTACAGAACCAAGACGTCAATCCTCGGGACAAATGCTCTCCAGACAGTATTATTGAAACTGTCCTCCCTCCCCTGCTCCAGGTCTTCTGTCTCCCGGCCCAGCTTGCCCTCGGATCACCCCTTTCGTGCTGTCAGGGTACAAGGATCATAAAAAGTAATTGGAAATCTAGGTTATGTTGGTGTAAAGCCACAGCAGGTGTGAGAGGCGCTGCTCTCATCCTCGTTTGTCCACTGAAGTGTTGCTTTGGTTCTGCCCTGTTGCATCACTAAAAATCCCCCTTCATGTATTGGCTTCTTTCCAGGTGACAGAGCAAAATGTCAGACCAGAGAGCCAAGCAATTCTCAGCCAGTTTTACCTGAGGAAGCCTTGCTCCGGGGAAGCCTGACTCTGGGATCTTCCTGGGACTCCAGGTTGGGGCGAGCTGGGGCTCCACAAGGGCTCTTGGAAATGCAGAGAGGTCCAGAGAGGCCAGAGATGGATGCTGGCAAGGAGGCCCATCCTGGGAAGACGAGTCTTGAGGATGATGGTTTAGGGGCAGGTGATGGTCTGCACTCAGGGGCGTTCCAGGAGAGAGTTTCTCGGGCGGATTTTCTCCACGAACGTGACCCACAGCGACCTGGAAAAGGTACCCCCCTTCCTCACCTCTATAAGTGTAAGCAGTGCGGGAAGGCTTTCAACAGGAGGTGGTACCTCGTGCGCCACCAGCGGATTCACACGGGCATGAAGCCCTACGAGTGCAACGCGTGTGGGAAAGCCTTCAGCCAGAGCTCCACGCTGATCCGCCACTACCTCATCCACAGCGGGGAGAAGCCATACAAGTGCGCGGAGTGCGGCAAGGCCTTCCAGCGCAGGTCCTACCTCGTGCAGCACCAGCCGGTGCACACGGGGGAGAAGCCCTACGAGTGCAGCCAGTGTCGCAAGGCCTTCACCCACCGCTCCACCTTCATCCGCCACCACCGGACCCACTCCGGTGAAAAACCCTTCGGATGCAAAGAGTGTGAGAAGTCGTTCCGCAACCGAGCGCACCTCATCCAGCACCACGTCATCCACACGGGGGAGAAGCCCTACGAGTGCGCGGAGTGCGCCAAGGCCTTCCGCTGCAGCTCGGAGCTGCTGCAGCACCAGCGGGTCCACACCGGTGAGAAGCCCTACGCCTGCACCCAGTGCGGGAAGGCCTTCCACCGGAGCACCTACCTCCTGCAGCACTCGGTCATCCACACCGCGGAGACACCGTTCAGGTGCTCCCAGTGCGGCAAGGCCTTCAAGCGCAGGTCACATCTCCTGCAGCACCAGCGGGTTCACACTTGAGAAGGCGGCCTTCACCCGCTGCTCGCCCTTGGTCTTTAAGGAGGAGACCCAGGCTGGAGGGGAAAAGTTCTTCCCAGCAAAGAACACTGGAGAAGGCTTTTTTGGGCCCCTCTTCAAACCCACAGATGGCTACATGGGAGAGACGCCTGTGAATGCAGTAAATATCGGGAGGCCTCAGCCCCCAAACATGGGAGGAGTCAGGCTGCAGAGAAACCCAGTGAGAAGCCACGTCACCCGTGGGTCCACCTCTGTCAACTTCAGAGCACACACCGGGGAGGGACAGCCTGCAGATAACCTGAGCTAAAAGAGAAGGCTCTTCTGCCACCTGAGATGGTGCAGTGAAGAGGAACCACGTAATTATCGCCTTGAGAAAACCATCTGTGTCAGGTCACCCACCACTTGTCACGCTAGAGCCACATCAGAACCTCACGGAGCTCGTGCTTTTCCTGTGAGGAAGCATAGAGGGGACAAACTCGGGTGTTTTCACTTATGACGACCTCCGGCCACAGGGCTCCCTTGGGTTTGCACTTAAGAGGCCATCTCAGCATTATGTTTAAAAGGAAAATAACAAGGGAACTCCCATGTGGTCCAGGGGTTGGGATTCTGTGCTCTCACTGCTCAGGGCCTGGGTTCAATGCCCGGTCAGAGAACTAACATCCTGCAAGCCCCACAGTGTGGGGAAAAGAAAACTAGCAAGGAGGCGGAGGGGATGAAGATGAAGACTATAAACATGAAAAGTGAAAGTGTTGGTCACTTAGTCCTGTCAGACTCTTTGTGACCCCACGGACTTTAGCTCGCCAGGCTTCTCTGTCCACAGAATTCTCCAGACAAGAACACTGGAGCAGGTAGCCATTCCCTTCTCCAGGGGATCTTCCTGATCCAGGGATTCAACCCAGATCTCCTGCATTGCAGACAGATTCTTTCCCGTCTGAGCCATAGGGAAGCACAAACGCATAAATAACAAAAATGGTTTTGCAAGCTCTTTCAGACTTTCCTGCCAAGGCTCCTGCTGTTTTTCATCAGTTCTATTTTTCAGGAGCAGTATTGGAGAGAAAAAATTGCAGCCCTTTATCTTTATATGTTCATTGCTGTCCCCACCCATTAGGAGCTTAATTATTTGTGAGAAATATGAAGGCTTGAGTTATGAGCTACTTGAACTAGTAAGAAATTGGAATACTAAAAATAACATTACACGGTATTTATATTTTATATTTAAGGAGAGAATGGTCCACATAAGGATCACCACATTAAAATCTGCACCCCAAAGGCTGTTGAATTTTTTTTTTTTTTAATAAGTAAACTTGTTTGTCTGCTTTTAAATGCCCAATATTCTCACTCTTCTTCTGTTTTTAAGTTTAAAAGAAGTACGTTTATTAACATATGCACACATTTTTCAAAAATAGCAACAGTTAGGATATTTAGGGAAATTCACTCCAAAATTCAACAAACCTCAGTGAAAAGAAGTTGCATGCAAATCAATTACTTGAAGCTATTAATTGACTGCATTTTCAGTCTTCAACGGGGTCTTTTAAAGGATGTTTAGCAATGTGGAAGATGAATCAATCCACATTACTTAGGGGCTTTATTTTTATTGGAATATAGTTGATTTTCAATGTTGTGTTCAATGTTCAATCACAGCAAAGTGATTTAGTTATTCATATACATACATTCATTCTTTTCAGATTATTTTCCCTTGCAGGTTATTACAAAATATTGAGTATAGCTCCTTGTGCTATACAATAGGTCATTCTTGGTTATCTATTTTATATACAGTAGTTTGTGTATCTTAATCCTAATCTCCCAATTTATCTTCCCTCCCCCAACTCTCACTCTTTTAAAAAAAAATTTTTTTTTAATTGGAGGATAATTGCTTTACAATATTGTGTTTGTTTCTGCCATAGATCAACATGAATTAGCCATAGGTATACATATGTCCCCTCCATCTTGAACCTCTCTCCCACTTCCTACCGCATCGCTCTTTCTTGATTCCATTCTTAGGTGGATTTTTTTTCATCATTCATTTTTCACTTAGATGCCTGAATCACTGTTCTGGGCATTTGAAAGGCATCATTGAACAAAACAAGTTGAAAAAAGAAAAAAATCTTGCCCTGCAGAGTTAACATAAACAGCATAATAAATAAACTGTATAAAAAACTAGATGATCAGTATTACTGAAGGAAAAAACTGGAATAGGGTTAAGTTGAATCATACACACCAAGCTATGAGGGGATAAGGACAGGTCATAATTGTAAATAAAATAAAGTTGGGACATCTTCAAGAAGGTGGCTTTTATACAAAGACTTGAAAGAGAAGGCACTGGCTCTGTGTGTATCAGGAGAAATTCTACATAGAGGGAATGTCCAGTTCAAGGGCTTTGTGGCTGGAATATACCCTGGAATGTTTGAGGCAGATCAAGGAGGTCATGGAGCTGAATCAGTGATGAAGAGGGAATAACAGGAGATTATCTCAGAGAGGATTGGGGTTTTGCTTGCAGGCAAACACCGCATAACACTATGAGGTCTTGGCTTTGACTCTGAATGAAGTGGGGAGACATTGCAGGATTTGAAGCAGAAATGGCTTCATCTGCGACGTCTCTGAAGGGCCACACTGGCTGATGTATTGAATGTGCTTTGTTGGCATGTTTGTTTTATTTGTTATCTCTTCACAGCAAGGTGATCATCCTGTACAGGTGAGGCCTTCTGAGCTGAGTACTGGTGTTTTCCTCTTTTTGCTGTTGCAGGCTCTTATCCTGGGGAGAGGACAGGACATTTCCAAGTCCCCCCCTGCAGCTTTCTAGGGGTTGGAAAGAGTGAGTTAGTCTCTCAGTCGTGTCTGACTCTTTGCGACCCCGTGGACTGTAGTCCACCAGGCTCCTCTGTCCGTGGGACTCTCCAGGCAAGACTACTGGAGTGGGTAGCCATTCCCTTCTCCAGGAGAATCTTCCTGACCCAGGGATCAAATCCAGGTCTTGCACTGCAGGCAGATTCTATACCATCTGAGCCATTCAGTAAAATAAAACACATCTGAGTTAAGATGCCTATAAAGGGGAAGGAGTCTCCTTCAGTCTTGTTTGTGTGAAGTTTTTGTTTTGTTTTTTAATAGAGTACAGTGGCAGGCATGTTAGGTGAGTCCAGATGTAAACATGTAGGTATGTTTATGTGGGTTTCACAGTTGCAACTGTGGACTTAACTCCTTTGCTCTGGCACTGGATGTGAGTGCTGAAAATTTGTCCTGAAGTTTTTTTAAAATCAGTATTAGCTTAAAAAAGGAGCCATACAAGGACTTCCCTGGCAGTCCAGTGGTTACGGTCCTGCACTTCCGCTGCAGGGGGCACAGACAGCTTCCAACATGAGTAAACTCTTCACATTAGGACTGAGATGGATGGTAACCTTCTAGCACATATTTCAAGGTGAGAGAAGACAGTTTATTTCTTCCTTTCTAATGCGCATATGTATATACATATTTTTTTCTCATATAGAATTAAATAGTTCCCGTGGAGTACTGCTGAAGTTCACAGAAGATACCAATTATATTTCTTTAGTCCCTGATCTTAGGAGAAATATAAATATAACATATGGTATATGTTGTACAATTTTTTTATAATTAGATGTTTAAGGAAATCCATTCTATACTTTGCTTTAAAAAAATGGGTGAATTAGCATCAAATTATACTTTATGCATCTTTTGAATTGATTATATGATATTTTTGTATTTTTAAATTTTTCATATAGCTTCAAACTTACAGAAAAGTTGCAAGGATAGCAAAAGACATTCTTGCATAAATTTTACCCGGGTTAAACAATTGTCTGTTTTGCACCTTTTTCCTGGTCATTGTCTCCACATACATACTATTGTGTATTTCTGAGCAATTTGAGTTTAATTTGGAAGTATTTTGCCTCTGTACAAGTGAATACTTCAATATATGTTATACCTAAGAGCATATTTTATGTTAAAAGAGTAGTATCATAATCAGGAAGTTCAATATTGGTAAAATACTAGTTTTAAAAAAAAAAATTTGGCCATGTTACATGGCTTGTAGGATCCTAGTTACCCAACCAGGGCTCGAACCTGTGCCCCCTGCAGTGGAGTCACAGAGTCCTAACCACTGGACCACCAGGGACTTCCAATACTATTATTTAATCCATAGTCCATATTCAGATGTTATCATTCATCCCAATATTGTCCCGTGGCATTTTTCCTGGTCCGCAACCAAATTCAAAATTGCGTGTTACGTTTAGTTTTCATTACCCTCTGTGCTCCCTTTAATGAAACTGTTCATCAGTGTTTCACTGAGTTCCTTAGAATCGACTGTCTGGACAAATATAAGTCATTTATTTTGTACAATTTCCTTTTATTTTTCTGATGTTCCCTAATGATTGTATTTTACCTCTGTATTATTTAACAGAGAAACCACAGGAGTGATATTTTATATTTCGCAGTACTTCTTATCAGGAGGCATGTGATGTCCATGCTTCTCAATGTTAATATTCATTTTAGGCACTTATTTAGGTTTGTGTTCTTGACTTTAGAATTACTATTTTCCTTTCCAGTAAATATTCAGAAGATATTTTGAAACTGTGTAAATATACTGATCCATGTCAATATTTCATCCCTTAGTTTTAGCCACCACTGATGATTTTCAGATTCCATCAATTTTCTTATTTATTTATTTGACTGTATTGGGTCTTAGTTGTGGCATGCAGCATATGGAATCTAGTTCCTTGACCAGGGATTGAACCCAGAGACCCTGCGTTGGGAGCACAGAGTATTGGCCACTGGATCACCAGGGAAGTCTTCCTTCAATTTTCCATATTAGTTGGCATTCTACTTTGAAATTCAGCTTCCCAAGTGAGTT